AACAGAAATGATGAGTAAACACCATAGGAAGATCCAAAACTTACACTTTCATCATTAATATAATTATTCACTAGGAAAACTCAGAAAGTCAAAATATATGAAAACTAATAAGATAATTTAGAAATAAGATCATAATAAATTAGTCAGATAACTATTTTTAAATCTACAGCAATTGCCTGCCTTAGAAATGATAAATTAGAAATGAAAAAGTGGGGTGAGGGAGAGATCCTGTGTAATTCCTTTCCTCTTGCCTTCTCTCCCTCCCTTCCTCTTCTACCAAGGCTTATAAACTTGGAAATATTGGCTGTTCCCTCTCTTGTTTCTTAGAGCATAATATTTATGGGTACAGATGAAAAAATCACACTATCTGGGTTTAAACTCAAGGCTCCGCCTTTTGCCAGCTCTGTAAACATTGAGGATAATTCTTTGAGATATTTACCCAGGTTTTCTTCTTCGCATTTGTGCATGTGTGTGTTTGTGTGTGTCTGTCTTGGACTCAGTTCACCCTTGCTGCTCTTAAGATATGGATATTCAGAAATGCAGAGTCATTTGCTCGACAGTGTTTATGGAACACCTAACTGTGTACAGGTGCTCGTTTAGGTGCCAAAGACATGGCAGTAAACAAGAAAACAGATAAGGTCCCTGTTCTCAGGAAGCTGACATTCTAGTGGAGTTAAAATAGACAGTAAATAGACAGACAAATAGATAGACAGATGACATATAGATAGATAACTAAGTAAATAAGAAAAATATCAGATAATAATAAATGTTGTGCAGAGAATTGGAATCTGTAGTCGTGTTCTAGTTCTCTATTGCTGTATAAGTAACTCCACCAAAACTTAGTAGCATAATAAAACAATTTTATTATCTTACAATCTTGTGGATGAGAAATTTGGGAAGGGTTCAGTTGGGCAATTCTTCTGCTCCATGTGGGGTTATCTGTGTGGTATTCAGTGGTGGCTGGTGTTGTCAGGATGTTTGGTGCCTGACTGGGATGGCTGGAAAGCAGGGATTGTTGACAGGAGTGCCTCCATACGGCCCCTCCCGCATGGCAGTGTTGGGGTTATCAGTTCTCTTAGTGGCAGCTCAGGGTTCCAACTGGGGGTGTTCTGAGAGGCCCAGGGAGAAGTTGGAAGGAACATCACTTCAGAAATTCTGCAGTGTAACCTCCACTGCATTCCATTGATCAAACAAGTCACCAAGGCCACCCCAGATTCAAGGGGAAGGACATTTAGACTCTTCTTTTCAAAGTAAACAATGATTTGGAAGACAAGAAAGGCTGACTGAAGAGGTAACATTGGAGCTGAATGCTGAATAATATGAAGGATTGAGCCTTTAAGATACAAGGAGAGAGCTTACCAGTCAGAGGGACTATGGAGTGCAGAAACTTGGTGCACCTGAGAAACTGAAAGTGACTGGGAGAGCAGTGGGCAAGGGGCATGGTATGAGATGAAGTCAGCAGAGCCACTGGGGGTCAGATATATAAGATTATATAAGCCTGGATGAGAAATTTGGATTTTATTCTAAGTACTTCTTATTCCAAGAATCTACTAAAGGGGTTTTAGCAGAGGCTAATGGAATCTGTAGATTCTGTACAGAATTGCCTGTCAGGCAACAGGTAAGAAGAGCAGAGCAGGGAGGGAGGCTGGCTAAGAGACCTGTGCAATAGCCCAAGAAGGAAATGACAGTGTATGGACCAACATGCCTGTGGGGAAGGTGGTGAGAATAGGAGATGTTTTGGAGGTAGGATCTACTACTCTATACTTATTAATGGATTAGATGATTGGAATATAGGAAAATCAAAGAATCAAAGAGTCAAGAACAATCCCCACCCCAAGATAAGTTTTAAGAAATCGAAGAGCAGAAAGCCTCTCAGAGGTACCGTCTGAGTTTCTCTCCTTTATTCCACCACATACTTCATACAGTCCACCACCAAGTCTTTGATCCTGTTCGCTCTGCCTTCCAAATGCATCCTGAACCCTGCTGCTCCTCATCACCACTGCCATGAGTCCAGGCCACCACCAGCACCTTCTGCCTAGATGATTGTAATAACCTCCTAAGCAGTCTCCTGGTTCTACTCTTATTCCACCATTGTCAGGATGATTTTTTAAAAATGTAAATCATATCATGTCATTCCCCTTCTCAAAAGTCTTCTGTGGCTGCCTCATTTGGAATACAGTGTCAGGTCCTCACCATGGCCCACAAGGCCCTTCACCATTCAGTCCCTGCTGTCCCTCAGCCCCACTCCCATTGTCCTCCTCACTCTCTGCTTCCACTGTCTGTGTCATTCTGATCACAGGGAGCATGCAGCTGCCTCAGGGCCTTTGCATTTCCTCCTCTGCCTGGAATGCTTTTATCAGAGTTATTCACATGGCCACCTGCTTTATTTAAGTCTCCATAAAAATATTAAAATATCTTCAGAGACACCTACTTTGATCTAAGCTCCCCCCAACCTCACTATCTAGCCCATTAATCCTCTTGTACATATTTTTGTTGCACAAATTACCAACCTGAAGATATATTTTGTTTGTTTGTTAATTTTTTATATATTTATTTATTGTATCTCTCTTCCATTGCCATTTAAATTTCATGGGGGCAGCAGCCTTGATTGTCATGTTCATTGCTATATACTTAGGGCCCATAACTGTGCCTGGTACAAAGAAGGCACTTAGATAATATTTGTAGAAATAAATAAATGAATATTATCTATTATTATCATTATTGTTATTATGAGTCTGTGACACATCCTCTTGATTTTTTCTTCTAAATGACTCTTCATTCATACCTTCTTAACATGCTCTCTGCCACCACCTGAATCTAGGCCTCTCTCTCTACCTGACATCCACTGTAGCCTTCTCCCTGGGCTCCACAAGTCCAGTTACTCTCCTTCCACAGGCATCTGTCATGTGAATGCCTGGTTAATGGTTCTGAAGTGTTGTTTAATCATTTCATATCTCCTTTCTAACAGTGTGAAGTCTAATCACTTAGCCTGATAATCATTTCCTTTATTGCTGGTCTCTCTCAATCTCTGTTCCAGCTTAATTTCCCATTACTCCCCATCTGAACCCTTGCCCTCAGCTAAATTGCCCCATTTGCTCAAAACAGGTATTTTTCCACACTTTCGAGTTAACCCACATCAGCCCCATCTGTCCCAAACCTTACCTACTGTTCAAAGTTAAGCTCAAATCTCATATCCCTGGAGACAGCCTCCTAGGCAGGAGCTCCCTTTGTCTCTGAATTGTCTTGTATTTATTTTCCTCACCCTCCATTTGGACCTTGTGTTTGCTTGGGCATATTTACTGATTATATACTTTATACATGAATATATAGGTATATTCAGTTTTATTTTCACAAATGTATAGCCAGCATGACCAGTCAGTCACCTTAGATTAAACTAAGGCTCTTGGTTAGATTCCTGCCCTGTCCCTTATATGTGTGCTCAAATAAATTCTTTATAATCTCTCTGAGTTTCTGTTTCCTTTTCAGTAAAATTGTAATAATAATAATTATCTCATAGTGCTATTGTTAGAATTGGATGAGTTCAAGTACAATGATTAATACACAGTGGGCCTCAATTAATTGTTATTTTTTTTAAAATGTTTTTCCCTTTTATTGCATTTACTGGGGTGACACTGATTAACAAAATTATACAGGTTTCAGGAGCACAATTCATAATTCCACATCACATGATCTGTATACTGTATTGTGTGTTCACCACCTTAAGTCAAGTCTCTCCATTACCACTTGTTTCCCCTATACCTTCCTCCACCTGCCTCCTACCCCATCAATCACCACACTGTTGTCTGTGTCCATTAGGTTTTATGAGGATTTGTCTCTTTTTTCCTCTCTATCCCTCTACCCTCCCTGCCACCGAACCCCCCAACCCTCCCCAACAGTTGTCAGCCTGCTCTCTATCTATGAGTCTGTATTTAGCTTGTTAGGTCATTTTGTTCATTAGATTTTACATATGAGTGAAATCATATGGTGCTTGTCTTTCTCTGACTGGCTTATTTCACTTAGTATAATGCTCTCCAGGTCCATCCATGCTGTTGCAAAGGGTAAGATTTCCTTCTTTTTTCGAGCCAAATAGTATTCCATTGTGCAAATATACCACAGCTTTTTAATTCACTCATCTACTGATGGACACTGGGGCTGCTTCCAAATCTTGGCAATTGTAAATTATGCTACAATGAACATAGGGGTGCATATAGTCTTTCAAATTAGTGTTTTGGGTTTTTTTTGTTTTTTTTTTCCAGATACATTCCCAGAAGTGGAATTGCTAGGTCATATGGTAGTACCATTTTTAATTTTTTGAGAACCCTTCATTCTGCTTTCCACAGTAGCTGCACCAGTCTGAATTCCCACCAACAGTGCACAGGGTTCCCTTTTCTCCACACCCTCCCAACACTTGTTGTTTATTGATTTATTGATGATAGCCATTCTGAGAGGCTATCTCAGAATGGCAATCATCAAGTAAGGTGATATCTCATTGTGGTTTTAATTTACATTTCTCTGATGATTAGTTACGTTGAGCATCTTTTCATGTTTATTGACCATCTGTATGTCCTCTTTGAAGTGTCTGTTCAGGTCCTTTGCCCATCTTTTAATTGGATTTTTTTTTTGGTGTTGAGTTTTATCAGTTCTTTATAAAGTTTGGATATTAACTCCTTCACAGATGTATTGACATAATTGTTATTATTTTTTTTACTGCCCACAGTGCCACTTCATGTGTCTGATGGGTTTGCAAATAGGCAGAGAAATATCTGTAGCAGGCATTACACCACCAGCTGGCCATATCATGCATATTTCATAAAGATTACTACTTTAAAATACATGTTTATTTTCAGTGCCTCCCTCTTCCTGTCTTGCTTTGGACAGTATTGCCTTCACTTGATCAATGACACCAGAGTCCATCTGGGCAGCACTAAGTTTTCCCTAAATATTCCTACCCCTGTGAAAGCACCAGTCACAATGTCCTTCCTGTAGTCCTGGTGTCAGTAATGCACAAGGATGTGGATGAAGCCAGGATCTGGCAGGTAAATGATTCAAGTAAAGTGATTCCAGAAATAAGCCATTTGCTGGGTTGAATCAGGCACACATTCTAAAGAGCTCTTCTCCATAGTCTTAGGTTCTGGAAATGTCATCCCCACAGTACTGATGGGGCTCCTTCCTGGTCTGTTTCTAAAAAGGCAAGCAGAGCTGAAGGTATATCCTGCAATCCAGATTGACTAGTGATGAAACTGGTATTTCGACCCCTATGTCTGACTTCTACCTATCAGTCACTTTTCACTGGGGAGACAGGGAGCGGGATTATCTGTTGAACCTCTAAAACCCTAACAAACTTCAGCCATAAATTATATATAGAATGACATGCAAAGTTGCATTTAATAAATTTTTATTGAGCACCTACTAAGAGCCAGATATTACGCTAAGTATTGGGAGTATAATGGTTAGCAGAACATACATCCTTGCTCTCACAGAGCATACACTTAGGGAATGTAAGAGACATCAAACAAATTATAACATGTGATTAAATACCTAAACAGACAATTACAGCTATGAAAGGACCTTTAAATGGAAAGTTTAGGGTGCTGTGGAACCATACAGTGAGTTGAGGTGGAGAGGAACATATTCCAGATTGAAGGATCATGAAGAAATGAAATGCAAAATAAAGCATGAAGAATAAGTGGAAGTTTGCCAGCAAAGAGTCAAGGGGTGGGAGAGTGCTCCAGTCAGAGAAAGCATGTGGAAGGGCCCTGGGGCAGGAAGTAGCTTGGCATATGAAGAGCCCTCAAATTATTTATTATGTTTATTTACTTGTGATTTATGTAAAATAGTTAAATTCTAAATCAGAGGTCTACATACTTTCTATAAAGAGACAGATATAAATGCTTTTAATTATGTGGGCCAAAATTACAGTCTCCCTTGTATAGTCTCATAACTTCTCAACGTTAACACTGTAACAGGAAGGAACCATAGACAATATGTAAATTATGGGTATGGCTGTGTTCTAATGAAACTTTATAAACAGGTGGTGGGCAGTGGCCCACAGGTTGTAGTTTGCCAGTCCCTGTTCTAAATTAGAGCAGGCCCCTCTAAAACTCAGTTATAAATTTCAGTTTCAGAATTTCAGTTATAAATTTCAGTTTTTATTCTGAATATTCTTAAATATTTATTCTGATCAAGACATCCTTATTGGGGATCTGTTTAGTGGTAGGAATCATACTAGGGATGCAGAAGTAAATAAAAAATACATTATTTCTTCTCTGATGGAGATGACAGATATAAAAACTCACAGATATTAAATAGCAATGCAATAACTAGCTGATACATACACAATTTAACTGTAGCTAAGTGCAATTAAGGAGAAGTTCAAGGTCCTGTGAAAATTTATAATAGGGAACCTAATCCACCGTGGAGGACCAGAAAAGTCCTCCATGAAGAAATGCCATTTCAAGATGAAGCTAGAAGGATAAGTGTAGGCCAGGTCAAGTTAGGAGAGAGATCTCAGAGAGAGGAAAGCACAATGAAGGCCCAAGTGAGGAAGGTGATTGACGTATTTAAGGAGTAGAAAGCATGCCAATGGACAGGAACATAGGAGGTAAAGGAGAAAATTATGTGTAAGCCTAGAAGGTAAGTAGGGTTCAAAATATGTGAGCCTTGTAGTTTAATTTAACGATTTTGAAGATATTTTGGACTTAATATGATACACAATTAGGAATTTATGTTAATGGAAGCTCTCTTATGGGTAATCAAATTTGAGACACTTTATCAAGATTTTCTGAGTTGGAAAATACCACCTTGGATTCCAGGTATAAGACCTGAACTAGGGGTTGAGATTTCAGACTCATAGGCCGTGGGGGCAGATGTGTTTGCTTAATTAGTACATGCAGAGTAGAAAGGTTCAGGCAGGGGGTTGGAGTACAGAAGGAAAAGTCAGCAAAAAAGACCGTGGCCAGTTCAGAGGGAAAGGAGACCAGCAAAGGCAATGGTCACAAGAAGGCAGGTAAAGAGTAGCGGTCTGTGGGGCATGCAGTTAGGCGGTCTTATTGACAACAGTTTCAGTAGCTGGATTCAGAGTGCAGATTGCCATGGCTCTTTGACCAAACCAAAGGTGAAGAATTAAAGGCAATGAGTAGAAACTTTAAGCCTCGCTATGAGACTTCTAGTTCCGGCTAAGATGTAGAAAGAACTGGATTTATCCTCTGGTTTGAAACAGCTAAAACATCAGACAAAAATATATGGAACAACGTCCAAAACGTTGGACATCAGGCAGCAAAGGGCAGTGATCTCTTAGAGATGGGAAGCAGATGCTGTAGTCCAGAGGGAGGAACTGGCAGAGGGGATGGCGCCGCAAGTGTGGGGAGCTGGGTCAGCGAGAGTTCATAGGCGGAGCGCTGTGGAGAGCGGCTGAACCTGGAGGTGGCCGGGGCTTGGGCAGGAGCAAGGCTGTGCCCTGGAGACCCCGAGGGACCTTGTCCAGGGCAGAGGCAAAGCCGTGTCTAGATACAGGTTCCCCCTGTCCATTGTGTAGGCTGACACACTGGCTTGTATGCTACATGTCCTACCAAAGGCTAGGAGATGTGATCAGCTAAACAGTGGTAGGGTGCCAGTTTCTGTGTACAGTGGGTGCAGCGTACAACAATAGAAACCCGCCAAGATGTTGTTCTGGGTGCAGCGAAGCAATATGTTCTGAGAAAGCTTGCCAAGGGATTGTTTTTGTTCCTTTCAGCTACCTGCAGTTTCCTTGAAGAATTGTTACCTTGATGTATATGATAAAGATGCTGAGCTTGCTTGGGGTCACTCTCTCCATCCGAGGGCAGTGTCCCACCTGGCCCCAGCTTTAACTGTCTTCTATGTCTGTGTGTATTTCTTAATCTCCTGCGGCTCCCTCTCAGGATCCCCCACTTCCCTGCGCAGGTCATGGCAGAGTACCAGACAAGAAAGAGAACACTGGAGATCTTCAGTGTCTTGCTCAAGTATTTAGTAGATGCTGATCAGAACATGCACATGAAGAAACCACCTGAGACCAGGAAGAGAAGCGCACAGAAGGATGAGAGGAAGCAATATCCAAAGCTCCCGAAGGTCTAGGGATAGCGCCTGTTCCAATAGCCAGTGAGGAAAACGTCACAATTCAGGGGCATCTGTTATCAGTTAAAGTAAGAGGAAGGTTATTGCCTCAGAAGTGGGGAAAAATTAAACCTAGATAAAGCCAGCTCTAGTCCCTCCTAAAAAAACCCCCAAAAAACAAAAACTTAAATGGAAGACCTGAATGCATCAAACTGCTCCCAAGTCTTTGACTGTATCCCAAAAAACTGCTCACGAATAGATTAGAAACACAGTTACATCCAACAAACAAGGTACCATTTACAATGTCTAGCACCCTATCAAAAATTACCAGACAAACAAAGAAGGAACATATAAGCCCAAACGAAGTGAGGATCAATCTGTCCATAACACAGAAATGAAACAGATGATATAGGAGCAGTAGACAAGTTATTATTAATGTATATTCAAGAAGCTAAGGTCAGACATGTTGAGACATGGAAGATATAAAAAAAATACCAAATTGAAATTCTAGAGGTAAAAGCTACATGGGCTTTGTACTGATTAGACATTGAAGAAGAAATAGTCAATTCAAAGACATAGCAGTAGAAACTATCCAATAAAAAACACACAGAAAATAAAGCAAAACAAAATGAACAGATCATCAGTAAACTGTGGGACAGCGTACACCTACCATATGACCCAGCTGTTCTGTCCTTAAGTGTTTTCCCAGGAGAAATAAAAACATATGTCCATACATATTTATAAACTGATGTTCATAGAAGCTTTACTTGTAATAGTCCAAACTGGAAACAACCCAAAGCCCATGGGTCGTTGAATAGATTTTAAAAAACAACAACTTAACATTTAATATATATCCGTATCATGGAATACTTACCAGTGAGAAAAAGAAATATGAGCTATTGATATATCCAATAACATGAGTAGATCTGAAAATATTGATGTTGATGGCAGACAAATGAGTATATATTATGGAATTCTATTTACATACAATTCTAGTAAATGCAGACAAATCTCTAATGACAGAAAGGAGATCAATGGAGGAGGGAGGCAGGGAGAGGCAGGAAGAGGGCATTACAGGGGCAGGAGGAAACTTTGGGTGGTGATGTATGTGTCCATTACCGTGATTGTGGTGGTGACTTCATTAGAGTATATAGGTGAAAATATATCCAGTGGAATATTTTAAACATGAATACATTAATATATCTCAATTATATCTTAATAAAGCTGTTAAAAATAAATATACATATAAATGAATAAAATAACTTTGAAACAAAGGAGTGAAAGGGTTCAGCAGCTAGAGGGAGGTCT